AGTCTGGAAGAGACTCTGCAACTCCCCCCCACCCTCACATAGCAGCAGAAAAATCTAAACATGACGTAACACGTAATTTTCTATTAATGGTAAACTAATATTTTAATTCTTTCATTCCATTTCATTTTTGTAGCCTGTGCTTTAAACTCTATACTTTATAGGCAATTTATTTGCGACTATTGTTGACTTTGCTAATGGGTGTGTGAGAGAGTCTAGTGTGGGTCTAGTGTGGGTAGTTGTGTGTGTGTCTAGTGTGGGTTGTTGTGTCTAGTGTGGGTAGTTGTGTGTGTGTGTCTAGTGTGGGTAGTTGTGCGTGTGTCTATTTTGGGTAGCTGTGTGTTTGAGTCTAGAGTGGGTGGTTAAGTGTGAGTCTAGTGTGGTTAGTTGTGTGTGTGTGTCTAGTGTGGGTAGTTGTGTGTGTGAGTCTAGTGTGGGTAGTGATGAGGGGGATTGGGGGAAGGATAGATAGTGTGACGTCACATTTTTACATTTTAAAAAGGTAATGTCAGAAGCTGAATTTTAGTTCCCATTTTGCGTTTTAGAAAACTGTTAATGTAAATTGTAATAAAAATTGATTAATAAACTCAATGTTGACGAGATTAGTCAATATTTTAGAAGGAAATGTATGTTTAACAAAATTTAACTGCAATTTTGAGCGGCTGGTAGGCTGAGGTGTGACGTCATTTAAGGTAGGTCTGGCTCTTCGTGACGATGTGTGACGTAAAGGGGGGGGGGAGTAATGCGTGACGTCATTTATGGATGACTTTCCACCCCCCAGCAACCAATGCAATTACACTCACTTGTACATCACCCCTACGTCACATGAGCGCCGAATACATTTTATAAAACAAAGTAATGACAGTAGAGGTAGCCCTGCCCAAGTCACGCTAAACTTGGCGCTCCACAACAACAACACGCTTAGGCATGTTTCACACTGCGCGCCTGTACAGAGATTCAGGTCACATTAAAACAGAAACAAAAAAAAAACAACTTCCGCGAGTGACAATAATGTGCTTCTGTTTTTTTTAAATACGCTATGTTAACTTGCTTCAAGTATTGGTATTTAAGCGTTCTGTGCTTGTTTATTCAGAAAATTTCTCTAACTAGATTGTAAGATACAGATGGTAAAACGAACACAGACTTGTCTTAACCATTCATTTTGCAACGATACCACATGTGAAAATGGCGTCGCTAGGTCGGGTGTCACCCGCTGCGGCAATTCGTGGTGTCACCTCCCCCCGCCCTAAAGAAACAACGTATATGTGTGTGTGTCTGTGTGTGTTTGTGTATCGGCCTACATAGGCCTAAAATTTAAATATAAGCCACATACTAGTACACCTATGTTTATCAGCTTTAATCAATGCAGACGTAATAGTAATGATGTTTATAATTGTTGTTATAATTGTTGATTTATACTTAAAAGCAGGGGCGTAGCGAGGGGGGGGGGGGCGGGGTGTGTGGACCGCACCGGGTGACACCATTTAGGGGGGTGACACCAAGGCAAGAAATAGCAAAATATATAGAGAAAAACTTGAGGGGGGGGGGGTGCAAATCGAAAGTTTGAGGGGGAGTGCAAATCGAAAACTTGAAAGTTTGCCCCCGGGAAGGGTCGCTACGCCTCTGGGGGGTGACACCATTAAATGCCGCACCGGGTGACACCCGACCTCGCTACGCCACTGCTTAAAAGACTATTTAACTTTAATTAATTATTAATTAAATTGGCAAACATGCATTTTTCTTATGCAACTGTTTGTCTTGATGTCACCCCCTTAAATGATGTCACCCGGTGTGGCCCGCAACCCCCGCCACGCCCTCGCTACGCCTCTGACATGTGACATTAACCTGCTTCTATGCGACAAATATTTTCTTTGAACAAGGTCATCTCAAAACTAGAGGTGCCACTGGTGTTTATATTTCAAGCTTTGTAACTCTAAATTTAGTAACAAGTCATGACGCGCTTACCCTGTATTTATAAAATAAGATTTAAAACAAGTCTCGGTTGATGTAAATTACAGCTATTGCGGTATACCAATATAAAATCATATTCTCTTACAAGGATTATAAACAATAGTTGAACTTAGCATAAACCGGGATAATATGGTTAGTACAAGCATAGAAGTCCCTTTGCTCGCAATATCGTGTAACAGGTAATTATTAGAGGTGGGTGGACTCAGGGACACACGGGCATACATACACATTCACATACACTGGCATGTACACTTTCCCCTGCAACCTCTGCGTATCGCTCTGTATATTACCCCCTCCAAAAACCTGCTATAAGACATTACTCCCCCCCCCCCCAACCTGCTATAGGACATTACCCTCTCCAAAAACCTGCTGTAGGTCATTACCCCCTTCAAAAAACCTACTATAGGACATTACCCCCCTATTTATTACTAATAAACCCCCAAACCTAACCGGGATAGGTTCAGTGCTAGATATAGGAATAGGGATATGGTTGAAGTTTAGGATAATATAATCAAATGTCTTGACCTGGAGAGGGACATAACCCTCTGTGAATTATCCCCCCTGTCTATTACCCCCTGCTATTACTTTCCGGGTCAATTAATTTACATTCTGAATCTTGTACCCTGAAGAAAATCTGCAGTAAGAAATTAAATGTCTGTCGAATAATAATAATTGACAAATCTAATAGGGTTAGTGATAAATATGGAGATAGGGATAGGTTAGGGTTATACTTAGTATTATGTTTATGGTTATGGTTGTGGTTATGGTTGTGGTTATGGTTGTTACGATTTTTATTATGGTTATTATGGATGTTATGGCTGTTATTGTTGTTATGATTGTGGTTATGGTTATGATTATAATTATGATTGCTGTTACGGTTACTGTTATGATTATCATTTTGGTTATTGTTATTGGTATTGGTATTCGTTATCGCTATCGCTACCGTTATCGCTTGAGTTCTAGCGGAAGAGATGTTGACTGTTAACCCGTAATTCTCGAGTTCGAATCCGGGTTCAAGTTAGTAGACCGTCCTTGAGTCCACCCAACTCTAATATGTACCTAACTCGCGTTAGGGAAAGTAAAGGCGGCTGGGCATAGTGCTGACCACACTATCTCTTCATATGCCGAGGTCTTCACTCTTCTTCACTTGCCCCATAGACCGTCAGGTTTGAAAGGGAAACTTTACTTTTCACTAAAGTAGATAATCGACATGATTGAAAATGTTTTGTCATTATTCGAATATATTATATTTATTGCTTCTGATTCAGAATTTCCAGTAAATTCATATTCCGTGTTAATGATTCTTAAGCCATTAAAGGTAATTGATTGTGTATTGTTTTTCATGTGTATGGCAGCTTGGGAATATTTTAGGTTATGTAATTCTTTTACGTAAGATTAAATTATTTCTATGTCCTCGGCATATCAGTGCCTTAACTTCCCCAGCTCGAGTTTGGAACCTACAAGAGCTGGACGGATTCAAGCCTAGGATTCGAACTCCAGACTTTTGGGTTGGCAGGCATGCAATCTGCAGTCTGACCACGTCGTCTCTTAAAATTGTTTATCTTAGTATTGAGATGAAAAAAGATGGTGTGCGATCTTTAAGTATAACTCTTTACATATGTGGTACTACTTCCATTAAAACTATTTTTAGTTATGATTATTATCTCTTGACAAGTAAGAGAAGTTTACTTTTCGAACCTGACGGTCCATGGGGCAAGTTTAGTAGAGTTCGGTATATGAAGGGATTATTATGGTCAGCACTATGCCTAGACGCCTTTACTTTGCCTAACACCCGTTTGGTACACATTAGAGCTGGGTGAATTCAAGGAAGATCTACTGACTTGAACCCGGATTCGAACTCGAGACTTTAGAGTTAGCAATCTAGCGCTCTACCGCTAGGCCTCGTCGTCCAACATATCTCTTGAGTACTGGTCAATTTTTTAAAATGTCTGTTGCCAGTTTGTTGCCAGATTGTTGCCAGTTTGTTGCCAGCTTGTTGCCAGCTTGTTGCCAGTTTGTTGCCAGTTTGTTGCCAGTTTGTTGCCAGATTGTTGCCAGTTTGTTGCCAGCTTGTTGCCAGCTTATTGCCAGTTTGTTGCCAGTTTGTTGCCCGTTTGTTACCAGTTTGTTGCCAGTTGTGTTCTTTGCTTCCTGTTCTAAAATTAACTTAGCCTAGATTAACTGTTGTGGACATCTCGCCCATTGCACGTCAGAATAAAGTGGAGGGTTGAGAGTGGGGATAGATGACTTACACCATAAAACAAGAACCTGCTACTGAAAACTTTAAAAATGTAACCAACAAAAGTGTGTAAACAATATTTTTTTAAGTAGAGTTTATGGCAAGAACCCAACTTGAAGGAAAAAAAAATCAACTCCTGAGAATGATTGAGAGGTGTGGTTGTGTCCCTATGCTTCGTAAGAGGTCAACAGAAATGTTGGCCAGTGATGTATATAATATTTTCATGGGATGGAGTGGCCTAGTGGTAGAGAGCTAGACTGCTAACGCGTAAGTATCGAGTTCGTAATTCGGGTTCAAGCCAATAGACCGTCCCTGAGTCCACCCAACTGTGATGGAGAGTAAAGGCGCCGTCATACGCCGAGGTCATAAAGACAATCAAGTTTGGAAGGGGAACTTTACTATAACATTTTCAGAGACCGAGATCTAGTTATATATAGTTTTATAGCTAGGACTGACAATATGGTGCATTAAATTTTAAATTAGTGAGCTATAGGCTATCGATCTATCAGTTCTATATATATATATATATTTTTCTAAATACACCATAATGGTAAAAAAAGCAATTGCTATCATAATTCTCAGCATTTTTTAGACACTATTTCCATATTATTTAAGTGCTTAATTTAGAAATGCAAGGAAAACAAAACTCCCGGTTGCAAACATTTTTGAAAAGTGGAGTTTGAACTATACATAAAGGCAGCATATCAACAAATAGATTGATGTATAATTAAAATGCGTCTGTTACATTCAAACATTTAAGTGCGAAGTAAAGAATAAATCTAAACCAAACTTTGCAAGAATAATATATTTTATTAAATAAAATTTAATATTTGTACAAAAAAGTAATTTTAAGCGTTTAAAAAATATTTTAAAATATCACAGTTTGTCTTAAATAATTCAAGAATGTAATATAATACATCAATTACAAAATTTGGAATGTTGTTGACAATAACATTGTTCTGTTAAAAATAATTAATATTAACTCTATAAATTATTACCCGAAACATAAAATTTTAGCCTATTAAATAATTTGTTTTTAAATTAAAATATTCAAAGTTGTCTTGATATACTGATATATGTATAATAAATATTACCGTATGTATAGGTGAATAATGTTTAAAAAAATTCAGATCTTTTCATACTACGAGCTCGGTATTCATCAACAATTTTACACTAAAAGATCATTTCAAATCAATACAACAAATATAAACAAAACTTTGATGGCAAAAAAATAACCAAGACTTTAAAATTCGTTCGCATCAATGATGAGATTTCTAACGTTTTTGAAATTTAAAAATTAAATAAAAAGTAAGTTCAAATCAAGAAATATTTCTTTGTGTAGACAGTTGAGTCATTTACCGAAAATAGCAGAACAAGAGTAGGACGGATTTATTCAACAGTCAAAATTTGTTCAGGCCAAAATTCTGAGGAGAATCCCAACCAGAAGAACAGTGGAGGAGAGGAGTACTCTGCTGGCTTCACCTGTTGATTCATAGTAAAATATTGCAGTTAAGATCCTCACAAAACAGACCAAAATAAAATAATTCAGTTGAGATCTTTTCAAAACAGACCCAAATAAAATATTGCAGTTAAGATCTATACAAAACAGACCAAAATAAAATATTGCAGTTAAGATCTATACAAAACAGACCCAAATAAAATATTGCAGTTAAGATCTTTTCAAAACAGATCCAAAGTAAAATATTGCAGTCAAGATCTATTCAAAACAGATCTAAATAAAATATTGCAGTTAAGATCTATACAAAACAGATCCAAATAAAATATTGCAGTTGAAATCTATACAAAACAGACCCAAATAAAATATTGCAGTTAAGATCTATGCAAAACAAATCCAATAAAATCAATCAATGAAGACCTGTGCGAAACAGGTCAAAAATAAAATCATTCATTTAAGATCTATGCAAAACAGACCAAAATAAAATATTGCAGTTAAGATCTATACAAAACAGATCCAAATAAAATATTGCCGTTACGATCTATACAAAACAGATCCAAATAAAATATTGCAGTCAAGATCTATACAAAACAGATCCAAATAAAATAAATCAATGAAGATCTATGCAAAACAGGTAAAAAATAAAATCAAGCAATTAAGATTTATGCAAAAAAGATCCAAAGTAAAATATTGCAGTCAAGATTTATGCAAAACATATCCAAATAAAATCAGTCAATAAAAGTCTATGCAAAACAGATCCAAATAAAATATTGCTGTTAAGATCTATGCAAACAGATCGAAAGTAAAATATTGCAGTTTATATCTATGCAAAACACATCCAAAGTAAAACATTGCAATTAAGATCTATGCTAGACTTATCCAAATAAAATAAATCAATAAAGATCTATGCAATACATATCCAAATAAAATCAGTCAATGAAGATCTATGCAAAACAGCCCCATAGTAAAATATTGCCGTTAAGATCTATGTAAAACAGATCCAAAGTAAAATCAATAAATGAAAATCTATGGAAAACAAAGCAAAATTAAAATCAAACAGCAAAAACAAAAATCAATAACTGAAGATGTCTACAACCGATTAAAAAACCAATAACAACAAAAGCTACTAGTAATTAAAGATACATTTACAGCACTTTATAAAATTTCACTTGGCGGTGTGTTCGGGGAGAGAGTTTCGAGGGGGGGGGGGGGGGGGGGCGGGACACACCATATACCACTGTTTCTTACAGGCATCTCTAGTATCGCCCCCTCCCCCTTCGGATTAAATAGAAAAAAATATATAATCCATCTCTAAAATATAAAATCTACCAGTGTCCGCTCCTCCGTAAGCTTTAAGTGTCTAGCCCTCTTCCTTTAAAGTTTCTGAAATAAAACTTCGAAGACGGCTAGCTCGAAAGTCTGGAGTTCGGATCCCGTTCAAGAGCCTGCACGCTCTGAAAGGTTTATCACCCAACCCGCATGATGCCGCTGTAGGGCGGGGAGGGAAAGAGAGTGGCAACTGGGGAGACACAATATTTTTGCTCGCCTGTGGGGGAGATCCCGTCATTTCACTTGGCCTTAGAGTTAAGTTCTATGAAACTCGCCGTGGTCTGAATGATGTTAATCCAGTGTCAGTGTTTCTTCCAGACTTTTTTCTCGGAGGGGGGGGGGCGGTCTAACTTTTTTTGCGGGGGGGGGGGGGGGGCGGACACTAGTAAAAGTGTATGTTTACTATATAAATCCATCTCGTTCCGGGCGGGGGGCGGTAGACTTTCTTGGGGGGGGGGGGGGGGGGGACACGGCTCTGCCCCCACCCCCACCCCCGTAGAGATGCCTG